TGTTTTTTTCACTTGACACTTCTAAAAATTTCCTTTTCTGCCTATTCTATTTCCCCACCGCCAAAACTCTATAACCACCGTTTTTGCAGGACAAAATGCTGGGACTAGGGGTAAATGGTGGAGCTACATGAGCTATTTTTGCCGCATGCCTGGCATTTTTTAACGTTTTTTGACTTCGTTTTTTTTATTAAAAACCCAGAAATATTCGTCAGCTGTGAAGGCCTTCTGAAGAAACTGGACTTCGTCCTTTTGTTGTCCGGGCATCTACAGCGTGCTTTTTACCTGACGGCTGTGTTCTTACGCAAACTAATTTGTGTATACCTGATTGGTTGTTACGGCACGCCTTAATAGAGGAAAGATCCACAGCCATGGTGTTCCGAGTAAAACACTTCTATTGCCGCAAATGAGCAAGTCTGGAAAAATTAACTGGTTGTCCCGTGTTTAATTGGACATCTGAGAAGATTTGATTAGGAAGTTGAATCAAGCAATTGATTGTGTTTCGCTCAACACTAACAAATGCGTCGTCGAGATACCCCACCCACTACCTGGGTAGATGACGTTTAAAAGTGAGCTATTCGACAAGGAGGCACCGGGTCCGAGACAGCACTGTTTCGAACTTATAAAACTACACTCATCACAAAATACGAGGAGAAACCAAGTTCCCTGTGTCTAATAGTGACTTTCGTGTGTGTTTTCTTATAGTGGGGCGAGCTTACGCAGATGTCCACACCGAACATGCTCCAATGGCAAGACAGAGACAAGACGGCTGGAGTTAAATAACCCCTCTTCGCCTGCCACGCATGTGCTGGTTCACCCGTGTCGGGCTTTAAAGAAGGAGAACCATCTCGGATCACACATAATTGCGAGTGTCATAAAGCCCAACTTATTAGGAAGTCATTTTAGGCTGGGTTCCAGTCCTAAATGGAAAGGTGGTATATTGTCAGTCGTCAACCTTGTAGGCCACGACTCTTGGCATAGTAAAACACTGTCATTGTTCGCAGTATATAAATCTAAAACTAGATTCAATTTGAAGCAAATTCACGCTCTCTCCAATCTCCTACATCATTGGTTGGTCCGGGTCAACTTGACTTAGCGTGGTGGCTTACGTGCTGCACAGTAATACACCACACATGGGC